TGTGCTTGTTCCTTTTTTCTATTGTAAAGTCCCATCCCAATTTAGGTTTCGAAACCTATTTACAAACCTGCGTTCAGCAATAATGTAAAAGTTAGCCAAATTGTTTTAACTAAAATTATCTGGGACAATGTTGATCATATGAATTTTGGGTACTGTTTATGAGCCTTATTTGTCAATAAAAAAATTCTTCCCAGAGTGCATAAGGCCCATTCTAAAGTACTCTGTTCGATTTTACCTCTTTGTAAGAAGTAAAGGAAGTGTTTGTTGTAGTCGCGAAAATTTTCGAGTTTCAAATTTCAAAGGATATCCATTTTGACCGATCCCGAATCCATTTTGACTAATTATTTATGTTATGTCTGCACGTAGAGAGGAAATAAAGGACTTTTTATTCAAAAACAGATTATAAAATGGATTCAAAATGGATTCTTTTGTGATATTTCTACGTACGCATCTCGCATAACTCAAAACTGATTAGCTGTAAAGCACTGAAATTTTTTGTATGGGACACCTTTAATATCTAATCTTAATATCTATTTTTCATTGCAATCTGTTTTAGCAAAAATATTACACACACCAATCTCTCCTTACCCGGGCTTTATTTTTTCAATCGTTGGTCGTAGATATATACTTTCAATTACAGAAATGTTTTAAATGAAGAAAATATTCATGTTTTGAAATTCCAAATTAAAAAGAAATTACTTTTGGATAAAAAATGAAACGTAACTTTTAATGCGGTCTTCCGGTTCCTATAATCATATCTGGAAAATTTTCATACTCATTATGAAAAAATAAAAATACAAAAAGTTCGAATCTTATATGCCTAAAATTGACCGGGAAATTTCATTTTAACGTTAGCATTTTTTTATATCATTTCAACTTGCCTTCAAGGATCGTTTAATTATATAAGAATAAATCCAAAGTAAGTTTAAATGAAATGCGGCAAAGAATGTGCATAAAGTAATAAGCATAAAAGGACATCATGTGGAGCCCACTTCAGATGTGTTACATTTTAATCAGACAGATTTGAATAAAACGTATTTAATTTTATATATAAGTTAAAACATTCAATATTTTTAAAGAATTACACTGCATATTTTTTTTCACTTTTTAAATGTACAAAAGATGTAGAACGTTCCGAAATTAGTCCATATGCCTCTTCAGCTCATATCTTATATTATGTTTCCCTATTCCACGTGGGCCATCTCTATCGATAATCCCTACTAATACACCACATTAAACTTTAAACGAGTCCTTTGCGAGACTGGTCAAATATGAATTCTTTCAGATCTTTCTAGTTTTATTTATTTTATATTATTTCTTTTTCATTGTTCATTTATTTTTATTTCCTTTTAAAGCTTATAATATAACTTTCTTCGTACTTGCGCCACATAAAATTTAAAAGCAAAATCACAGAGTTTTTAAAAGCAGTACATCTTTAGAATTTCCTACAAAGTGTTAAATGTTGTCACGTACCTTTCTCCAGTCTTATCTCAGTCGTCATATCAATACTCAAGATAATAACTTAGACAACTTTTTATCCTATTAACTACATTATTAAACATATTTTTTTTCGTTCTTACACAACAGAAAATTCAACAACAAAACCACAAAACTTTTAAAAACAACATATCTTTACGTATTTGCGAATAAAGTGTCAAGTGTTGCCATTGAGGAGCTCAGCAGTTGTGAAATGTAGTGCAATGCAGCGTAAAGCCGATTATAGAATGATTAGACTAAGATAATTCTAGACTGCAATATATATTTTAGACACACCAATACATAATTTATCTCTAAAGTTTAAAGATTAAGTTTGTGAGAAATGGAAAGTTGAAAAGAACAATAGTTTTGCATCTTAGCATTTAATACATAATTTTTGTAAGCCTGTAAAATATCAGGCTTGTCCACGTAAATGCTTGAAGTTTTCGCAAAATTCATCTTTTAAAATAACGTTTAAATCGCGCCTACAGTTTTCTGAATTATTTTACTGCTATAAAAATAATGACCTTTGAAGTGAGGTGGCACTTTGCGGAAAAGAGGGTTATATTCAAGGGTCAAATCTGGTGAACAAAGTAGGTGGCTGAGAACTATGATCTAAACTGGTGAATTGTCGTTCAGCAGAAGCCAGTTATTTTGTTGAAACTATTTCCAGGTCTAAAGGGTTGAATTCTTTACGGAAGCCTGTCCATTACATTGTCATAAAATCTGCCTTCAGGAAAACAGGAATCTTGTTTTTATTGACTATCCTTTTCTAGACAAAAATGCTTATCACAAAGGTCTTTACCCGAGATTTCCTAAACCGCCATTTTTCTGGCCGTAGTGAATTTTCTCCAGTCCATAAACCATTAATAGTGCGAAAGTTTCTATTTGCAAGCAGATCATATTTTAAGAAACGCAAGTTGAAATGTCACAATAATAATAAATGCTGTCAATTATCTTTTGACAAATTTTCTGGAATTTCGCAAGGGTAATTTTGTCACAAATTTCTTTAGAATTATTTTTTAATAAAAATATCAATTTAATCACTAAACAATTACATTTTTTATGTTCGTGTATGAGATAAAGAAGGCTTAAACATTTTTATAGAAAAACGTTGAAAGCATTTTCCGTGCAACCGCAAATATTACCAAATTTTACAGTTTACTTGAGAAAGCTGTAGTAACTCTTGAAACCGTCTGCGAATATATGTCACTATTCTGGAACTAAATATATTACAAAAGACAGTACAAAAAGCATGTAAACTTTTGGCCAAACAACTCATATCTGTCTTTATATATTATGTAACTCAGGCAAAGAAACTTGAATTTTTTCTGAAATTTGCTTATTTTTTAAATCAGTTTTGGCAACATTCAAGCGTTATTTCTTCTATCTGTCATAAACAATATCGTTCCAGAAAACACAACTCTTTTTGAACAAATAATTTCCATGTTTCCGACAAAACACAGCAGAGGCATACTAGCAAGAAATTTTCGAAATTGATCTTAGATAGCTTAAATACCATTTAAGAGTAAAAATAATATTTCAGTTAATACATATAGTATAGAACTTCTTTTCATAGACATTCAGACTTTTCCTTTAACAATTTTTCAACAACGTTTGTCGTTAAGGAATGGTTAAACTTCATACGTTATCGACTTTTCTAGCATTGTCTTGAACCGCTAAGTTAAATTCTCATTTCAGCTACAATAAATATTAGAAAAAGCAAATTTGAGCATAATTAACTTATTCGCAAAGTTATTAAAGGGCTATTAGTCTCGAAACAAAATTTGCAATTTCCACTATACATGGCTGCATCAATTTTCAAATTGTTGCCACCAAATATTATCGCCCTGTATTATTTTTAAGGTAATTAGATGATGAAAAATTTGCATGAATCTATGTATGTTTTTCTCACTGTGAAAGAAGACAGTGCTTAGGGCCAGTTTTGTATAACATAGTCCTCCACTCGAACATGTGCACCTGGAAGCCCGAATTTTGAATTTCGAATATTATAATTCCTATTTTATAAAATTTTAATGAATTTTTTATTACCGAACTCAACGATCTGAAAGCTAGCAATGGCAGCACCTTACGCAATAAAGCAGTTTTATCTCCAGAGCACGAGACTGTAACCTGGAAATTCTAAAGGTTTAAATATTTTCTGGTTTGGCTGTTGAATTGAATTTTATGAGGTGTAAGTACAAAGGACATAAATAATTAATATACTTAACACCTAAAATGTTAAGAAAAAAAGACAAAAAAAAATGTTTCGCAAAACATCTTATTAAGAAAATTGAACATTCATAGGATAAACTGAAAAAAATAGAATAATATGTACCTGTTGGTACATATTCACTGTTGTTCACTGTTGTGAACACCGCATCGGGAATTCTAAACATATGCCCCTATGCCGCTTTCAAGTTTTTTTTTTAAATTTTGCTGTTGATTTGTATATGGCGTAAGTGCGGGGCTATTTAAGATTTGAAAATGTATTTTACTTTTAATTTTTATTCAGCTGTAGCGCCACAGTAAAAATATAATTAACATGGCCTAGAAATAGATTATCAGTGGTAAAGCGGCAGATAATCTATTTCTAGGCCATATTAATTACATTTTTACTGGTAGTTTGATAGAATTCAAATCACGAAGAAACGGCTGGTTACATTGGAAGTTTCGCGGATTTTTCCAAGTGTAACGTGTATACGACCCACTTTCCCTTTAAAGGTCTTGCCATGGCTGAGAGCTCTTCTTAAATTCTGGAAATCATTCAAAACTCTTTATATGACTGGTTCATGACAATGACGTAAATATTAGAGAATTGCAGAGACTCGGCATCGTGCAAACCTGAGCAAAACCGGCTATTTACCTATCTCATATCCTCGGTGTTCTCCTTCGAAAGTTTGAGGCACATTTCTGTGGTTCTGACAATTTCACAAGTGCATATTTTAAAATAAAGGTAAAAAAGAATTCGCGATTTGTTTATAATATCAACTGGAATTTTCTCCAGAAAATTCACTGCAGTTTCTTTCATTGCTGACAATTTCACAAGTGCATATTTTAAAATAAATGTAAAAAAGAATTCGCGATTTGTTTATAATATCAACTGGAATTTTAATTACAATAAGAACGCATACGGAAATGGCGATCTTCCTTGACTGAAAAATTCTTATGAGCATGGTTGTCTGAAAAACAGTTTATCGCATGGTTGCCACAGTTTGACGCATTCTGAAAATTTCTCGACTTCTTCTAAGTTGATTGCACTAATACATAAGTATTCGTTAAATTATTATTATACAAAAGAAAGACTATATATTAAGTTAGGAATTTTCTTCGCCAGCAATTTAGTATAGCTTGCTTTCAAATTTAAAAGTGGCCAAGTATGAATATTTTCTTTAAAATATTTTTTAACTGGAAGTATATATTTAGAATCATTGTTTACATAAATAAAGGACTTTTACCGATAGGATGTACAGTTTCTTGTTTTCATTTCACTTTACTATATTTTGCAGTGTATTCTTTTTCAGATGCCGATACGGTACTCAGAATGTCTGCTTTGTGTCCTGGCTCTCGCGGGTATCGTCAGTGCAAAGGAGACTAGAGATGAGCCGCTCAATCTCAAGAACGTGCTCATGTGCCTAAGAAGAGAATACACGCTCAAAGCAACACGCTCCGATGCATTCGGAAGACAGTGTTGGGACATTATTCGTGTCACATCTTGTTGGGGACGTTGCGATTCCTTTGAGGTACGTTAATCTTAATTCATCTCTGAGTAAATTAGAGTAATTATTTTCTTTTATTTGTTAACCATTCATTTGAAAACAAAGGTTCTATTGTTGTAAAGCGACTTCCTTGGGCTAGTTACAGGTGACAATATGAATATGCCCAGCTCCGTTCCGCATTTAGAGAAGAATCCTTCCAAGGACGGATCCGGTTGTTGTCTTTGGAAATCCTTTCTAAAGGAAAACTTTCGGTTCTATTGGATTTTAAACGTTTCCCGGCCACAAAGAACACTGTTACTTGCAAATATCCTAGCCCATTCTGCGATTAGAAACCGGAACCATGGCAATCGCAACCGACTCCCCTACCATATTGCCTACTAGTGGAACCACTTTAGCCGGCTCCCTTTACCATTCCTCCAGTTGGTGGAGTTACTGTATTTTACCCGTTCCACCAAATAATGAGACAGCCATCCTGTGAGTTTAGTTAGCTTTTTGCCCAAAATACTCCTTATCGGAACTATATTATAGCTATGAGTGCATGACATTTTCCTTAGATTTTCCCCTGGGTCAAAAAGCAAATATGCATTTCCGAACATATACAACTCGTCAGACAGTTAATGGTATGAGGTCTAGTGAGGAAAGAGGGCATGCCTTAATTTTAATCCGTACGCACAGAAACAATTATGATTGAAGTTTCCTTATAATGTTAGAAGACAGGGAAGAAACTTCACTGGTGGAACAGGCTAATCGAATATGGAAAAAAATTCCAGGGCTATCTGAGCAACGAAAGCTACGCCTTTAATGGAGGACATTTTAAAGTAAACTAGCTCGTATTCACTTTATGCAGGCTAGGAAGCACATATGTAGTACCATACATGAATAAGATATTTCTTATCCTAGCTGCTAAGCTTACGCGATAATGTTTTGAGAGAACACCCTGGGGGCTCACATCTCTTCCTTTACTATCAGTCTCTCGAAAGGATTTCGGTTTGCCATGTATTTTGAGTGTCCTTTTGCTGTATAGACACTATACACTATACAAACACACTATAAAAAGGGTTAAATTCAACTCAACGTAGTATCAACAGAACGTTTTATGTCTGATATCTACAGAAGAAATTCCATTTCTTTATGCGAATGATTTTCAAAGTGTCAAACAGACAACGTCAGAAGTCATACTTCGAGCAGTACCACTGCATTCATTGAAAAACGAAGACTTATACAGATATTGCATATATACATTTTTAATGTATTCCTGGACAGCCCCTTGATATTTCATCTTTGAAATATCGGACGTCGGATCTCTAAACCCAAGATCTTTCTAAGTAAAAACTACCCACGATGAATGGAAAGTAGTGGAAACATTTTATGAAAAGCGCTTCTATGTTAAAAACCACGATGCAGAGTTATAGTCCATAAAAAAGACTATTAGATCGAACATCTGAAAGGGTACTCTTTACATTTCGAACATTAGCTAAACGGCTCCTAAACCGTTCTAAAAAATTGTAAACACTCTCTGTAGATTACAACTGTATTCTGCTACCAATAAATTTGGCGTATTCTAATCAGAAATTTTTATCATTAGGAAAGTAAACATACCAAAATTTTAGCAAATTACAGGCAACTGAATCCTTGCCTTACATCACAGGGCAACTATAATCATCGAAAGTTTACAGCGGAAGGATCCGTTATCTAATTGTCTCAATTATTTAAATATTGTCTAACTATAAATTAAACTAACACCCGAGTAACAACTATTGAAGGTGCTAAGTTAACACGAATCGGAGTAATATTCATAAACTTCCAGGACTTGTTTCGCAGGTTTAAATGTAGAACATTCTTCATCAACTGCAGATGTGCAAATGACGAAAGAGAAGCCAATGCGCAGACGATAACAGTGATAGTAAGGAATTATATTACGGTTTACAGTTTCCCCGTATGTCCCATAATTTAAAATGTAAGCTGAGATAGATTAATTTTATTAATATCAGTCACTCAGTGTGTTATGTTTCCAACAGAAATGTTTAACATTTATACTACGAAGGTAGGAATGAGCTTGTATCAAAACCCTGCAAACCCTACTAGACTGGAAGCGAGTTATCGCTTTAATTTGTAACATATAACCAAGCCTTAAAAAGGTTCAAGTAATCTTTTTATTTAATTCTTAAGCGGAAAGAAAGGCACTGCTTGTGTGATAAACGAACCTCCGCTTCTTGCGGGTATTTAAAATAAAATAATGTTAAATTCAAATGCAGGTAACGTAATCGGAGACTACACATAAAGTAAACTAATTAAGCTCTTCAAGATTATTACCGGCGAGTATTTTAAATGTCGGTTAGCAAGATGCCAAAGCCGGAAATGAATTTACGTAGAGTTGATGCTAGTAAGTAGAGAGAGATTAGATGAGACAAGCTGCCAGAATCTTACTCGGAACATTCAAACTCTCGTCTTAAATACACAAATACGCGACTCATGAATATAACGCACGACAAAAAAGTCCGCCGGAAAACAGCCCATGACACATAAATATCTTATTTCTAATTTCAGTTCTAAAAACTTTTTATGCGAATATAGACTTTTTAAATCATCCGGCAATATTCACATTTACCTTTACTTCCAAAAAATAAATAAAAGTATCTTCTATATTTTATACACTTTTAAAATAAAAACAAGGTATGTAGGACCAGAAAAAACAATAAATAAGTGTTTATTGACATCTCTATTTCAAGATCATTGCAGCACTGCATAACATTTGGATACATTTTTCCCCCAAACATGTAAATCTTGCGTAAATAATATAGCAGTTATAATTTAGAATGCAAGTTAGAGTATACCAAACCATTTTATGCCACAGCAACCAGTATATGGAAATTATTATTAGGCATCCTTCTTGACCGAGATTGTAAAACATTTTTTAATAAACCAGCCTATGTAAGCATGTGTACAACATTAGATTCGAAAGTGTATACTTTTAATAGTGCGTTTGCGTGCAAGATTGTAATTACTGATTTATATATATATATACCGTGGCATTCTTTTATTGCACCTGCATACATTTAGATACTAAAAAATTCATCGTTGGACCCAGTTCAGAAGCCATTGATTTAAGCTATTTTGTTATGGGCTGTTTGGACGTAGGCTATTTTGTCGTGAGATATTTTGTTTCGGGCTCTTTTAACGGGTACCAAGCAAACAACTAAATTGAATTCTGGTTAGGACTAAGAAGATGTTATTGTAACAGGTTTAATTAACACTGGATATTTTACTGGATATTACTGAATATTTTACAGGTATCTGACTCCTTAAAGTGTTTATAATTCTTTGCACGTTAACACATAAATATTACAAACATTTTGTTAAAATCTATATTCGTGCAGTCCAGTAGCTTAAAATTTTGTAAAGCCAACAATATTCAAAGTCGCTGTTCAAGTTATCGGAACGTAATCCAGAAGATGTGGTTTTGTGCCATGACTGCTACTAAACTATACAAACTGCTATTACTCTTCCAGCAACCACTGACGGAATATTCTGGTCATTTTATGGATAATAAATACCTTACAAAGCACAAAGTTCTCTTCGGAATACTCTGAAGTAGTTACTCATGGAACAAGAACAGATCTTCAGTACATCTCTGAATATCTTCCCACACACATCCTCCCAAGTTTTAAATGTTACATACGAGTATATCCACAGGACATCCTGTCTAGTTCCCACTGGCACTTTGCAGGATGTTATTGGGAATTAAAATACTATTTACCATTTCTTGGGATGACTCTTAATATCTTCTAGACCTTCCAAAAGTCAATGCCACTTCTGTCTTTACAATGTTAAATGTCACTGAGCATACTCTCAGGACATCCTCCTTAGGTCCCACAGGCTGTTTTCAGGATGTTATGATTATTTAAATTCTTATTTATCATTCATCGGGATACCTCGGAATATCTCCTAAACCTCTTAAACACATCTTTCCAAATATTTATATTTATCCTAGTAAATCCTCAGGACATCCCAGATAGGTCCAAATGGCATCTATGAGATGTTATGAGGATTTGAATTTATTCCTACCACATCCCCTTTGTATCTCAAATACGTCCTCGGGAATGTTTAACGTCACATCCCAGTGTATTGTCAGGACATTCTCACTAGGTACCACCGGTACTCAAAAAATGTAAAGAGGGTTTAAAATACTTAACTACTTATCATATCCTCAGGACATCCTTGAATATTCGTGTACTCCATCATCTCGATTGTATAATATTTCAACTCAATACTTTCCAAAATCATCCTACCTAGAAGACATTTTCGAAAAATTATAATTTGCTTGATGAGCGGAAAATAGACATTCTCAGCTTTATGATGTAAATCATCTGAAAACTTCAACATGATTATGTTGGGAATTTAAATGACAAAAACTGTAATATGATTACCTTCAGAATTTAAATGACAAAGTCCTCACGACATCACAGAGTCCGCATCTTCAGGACATCTTTAGGGACACAGTTCCTTAAACAGGAGATCCTCAGGATGATAACTTGCAGTCTATAGAAGTCCAAAATTATGAAAATTACATTTTAATTTAAAAATAAAGAAAAAGGTAAAAGCACCCTGTAAAATCCCAATAATTTAAAATTACTATTAAATACCAGATGTATATAATCAATTATTCTGTCGGTGGGCTGTTTCTGAAACATAAGCTTCATAAATAACAAATGAAATTCAGTAGAATTAAAACAAATATGCCAGTGACAATTCAACCTAATTTTCTTAACAGACTAACGTCCACGTATGTGGGCTCATACACATTTCCATGCATTGCCATAAAAAATCGCGTTTAAACAAAAGCTTTAACCTAAGTAGCTCTAAATATTCATTATAAACATTAATTAAGTAATTAATTAATTAATTATTACTTACGTTTTCAGAGATTCTTCGACAGTGCCATTTTTTTCACAAAAATCAGCTCGTAGCTCTGATTTCTTCAAAACTATGAACTTGCGCTGTCCTCCGACGATAAAAGTGAAAAGCTGAAACATCCCGGTACGTGCTAATCAGGTTGCCATTGAATGCAAGTGTACTGGAATCTTTCCAGCAGCGTAAAATTGTAGGTCCACATATGTGGACATCTGAAGTCAAGAAGTTAATGTATTAATGTTATTTTTTTTGTTACGATACTTTCCTATACTTTTGAATTGGGTTTTACAAATAATTGATTTATATACAGACTGCCTGAACTAGTTTTGTATACAGACGAAAAATAGGCTTCTGGAAGGTTTCTTTCCACTGATCTAAATCGAATATAGCACTTAATTTAGTAGGATTTTTTATTCGACAGTAGTTCTATTAAACTATAGGTTTAGTAGACACGTTCTTGTTAGACATATTTAGTTAAAAAAGGAGGTTTGTTTAAAAAGAAAGACAGGATGATAATAACAAATTCAGAAATTTCATAGGGCAGTCTGCTCTTCTAGACCCTCCACCGTTGTAATGGAAGTAGACTGTCCTGTTTTTTTAACTAAACTGCGTAGTGGATAATGCTGTCCGCGGTTGTTGCGTAGTGGAAGCGTCTGGAGAGAGGATATTTAAATGCTGAGAGACTGAAATTATTCTTGGCAATAAGGTCAGCAGTCTTCTTCTGCAGTGTACCAGTGTTTTCGGGGCATTGAGAACCCACATATGTGCCAGAACACTGTGAATTTAATAGGATATCTAAGGATATTCTGAGATGCGTGGGGCATTCTCGACTGCCTTACTAAAATGTCTAAAAGTGAATTAGAGTTTTGATTTCTAATTAAGAAATGTTTTCCTTTCAGATACCTGACTGGAGATTTCCCTACAAAATATCTGTTCACCCAGTTTGCATACATGACCAGAAGAAGCTCCGAAGAGTCTTACTGCGCAACTGCGATCCAGGTGCCGATCCTCATTTGCGTATCTATGAATATTATGAGGCCGAAACTTGTTCCTGCAGCACATGCAACAGCTCCGACACTTTCTGCGACTGGAAAAACCATATTTCTACCAGCCACAACTTGCCTGCTTTGACTCGGAAACCGTCACTAGAAGGTTCGGACTAGTAAAATACTTTGTGTATGTGGAACATTGAACCCAATTGTTTCTGGACGTTTCTGCATTTCGGAAATAGAACTACTTCGATCAGCAAACGTCATTTAAAGAAACGTTTAAGTCTGTGAGATGGAAACGACTCCAGTGATTGACACAAGCATAACTAATTATTATCTTTGATCTTAAACAATTATTCAGTTTGATGACAGAGCCATTCAGTATGATCAAATTATTATCCAGTTTGATAGTATGGTCTTTCGTATGCAAACCTGCTTGTTGTTTTATTAACTTTTTTGCAATACTAAACAAGCTCTATATTATGATATTTTAAATAAATTAGAACTTTATTTTTATACCATCAGGTTTATTAAACCCATTTCTGTCGATATAAATACAAATGTTAATCCTTAAAACTAGCTAATTATAATTCGTTTGCAATATTTTCATTTGTATTTATTCATTTCTTACTTCTGTCCCATAAAATATACTGGGTATATGTATCTTTGAAGAAACATTTATAATTTCAACAGTGAAATTAAACCTTGTACTTGCTCCTAATGATCCATTAATGTAGTTTCGAATTCATTTCGTAAGTAACATATCAATGACTCGTTGAAAATTAAAAAACAGTGTATAAAGTAATCAAAAACAATCAAATTTATAAAGAAGCTAATAATGTAAAACCACTTTTATTCTCCTGTTTCTTTATGTCTTATCTCACCATTTTTTGATTATTTGTTGATGATATTAAATGAGAATAATTAATTTAGCAAGTACTTCAGAGAAGTTAAGTTTGTTCATTCTTCACGTAAACAAGCTTGTTTATAAACTAGTTTTAACAATTTCCATATTTCAGTTGTGTCAACCACTGGTGCAGTTATCTAACAAAGCGAATTTCTAACTTACTTGTGACCGATTACTCCTTAAGCGTAGTTATTGTTATTTCTTAAAAATTATTGTAAAGCGGCACAATCACAGTTAAAGAGAGTAATTATTCTGTGTAATAACCCATATGTTGTAAAGATTCATACCATATTTCTTTTTTCTCTGCTTTTCATCCATCATATTTATACTTTGTTTATTTGTCAAGTCGGTCATTTTTATTGAAGTTTTTTAATCAAAGCTTCTGTGCTAATTTTATTTTCTGATATAATATTTCTTTATATGCTATAAATGTGTACTCATTTTTCTCACCTCTAACTGCGTATCTTCAATATATTAAGTTTCCTAAGCATACTAATTCATGAATAGTACTTTTACATAAATGTAGACCAGTGGAATATACTGTATACTCTCGATTACCCGGCCTTATGCGAGGGAAGCAGGGAACGGGCAACTGAAAAACACGGATAATCCAAACTATCGATTTTCATGCATAATTTATGCGTTTATTTTTTATAAAATCAGTAATCTTTTATAAATCAGTAATCTTAGTTTTAAATATTTGAGAACTTTTGAATATTTTCAGAATTTTACTGCGTTTGTTTTGAAGTGCTATTTTATTATGGTATTCGATTTAACTTTGGTGACGATATCTAACAGAATTTCAACAGAAGTCATTCTTTGTCTCGTGACTAATGCAATTGTCAGTATTTTCTTCGCCTCTACGCACGGATAACCCGCAAACCGGATAATCGGGAGTCACTCTACTGGGAATCCTAACAAGCTGCTACCCTAAAAAGAAAAAACCTTCATTTTGCTGATTGCATTTAAGCTCTTTTAAATGATTTTTCAATTAAAATTAATGCAGAAAAATTATTGAATTTTGAAATTTATTAAACACAATTTACATTTATGGTAGAAATTTTTTGCATAATTCAGGGTTAGATTAGGCATTAGACAAAGAATTCATTGTATATTTTAAAAATAAACCTTACCTGCTGAGCATATATGATATGTATGACTGCAATTTATGCTAGCTTTATAAAGATTAATAATAATGACTTTTAATAGCCAAATCATTTTGCGAATCTATATACTTCAAATGTTTTATCAGACGCAACAATTTAATTTAAGATTTTGGTAACTTATTTAAGAAGAATAAATCAACAAAACAAAATTTTAAAATACATAAAAGTTTAAAAAAAAGAATTCAGAACATTAATGCAACTGAATGGAAACTAATAATAATTATATTCAAGAATATACAAAAAAATTCGGAACATAACCAAATCTAAAATATAGGTGCTAAGAACTGGTCTTATACAGTTATGCCAACATTCCCAGTTAAAGCTCGGCCTCTTCCAAACTAGACGAAGCTATTTTTATTCGGAGGGGCTGTAAAATATGAGCGTATTGTAGGCGAAAACAAAGCATATTATTTATACAAAGGGGGGACCTCTCAGTCTTTATTTAGTTTATTCGTCGTGTTTTACTGAGAGTAGAATTTTGTCATCGATTTTTAACTTACTACCTAATAAGTTAGTGAGTTAAAACTTTGTACATGCACTGTTTGCCAATGACAAAGCAATCAGGTGAAGAGATATTTTTAATTCGGTTTACAGTTTTTTCATTCTGTATTTAGATGAATGTTTGCATATATTTTCGTCTTTTGCAAGAGGCTCCTACATAACGTCTATGGCAAAAGTAACTTAGAATTATTAGAATTACTTATCCTGTGGTGGCTGTGACTTATCTCACTTGTCTGATAGAAGCATCACAACAAGCCTAAGAATATTATGGTTGGGAGAGGGGAAAGATTGTGTCTGCCGTTTTGGCACATATCTTTATTTAACAAAAATATTAAGCAAAAATTAAACAAAAAATTAAGCATCAGAATTTCGCTGTTTGCACCATAGAATACAGTGGAAAACAATCTTTCTGATGAAACTTGTATGAAAATTGTAACTTCATTTCTGATTTTTTAAAATTGCTCAATTTTTTAGACTGTTCGACATTTACGATTTAAAATTTCAGCGTCTCAAATGTAGCAGATATAAAGTTTTGAAATTTTCACAGATTATTAAACAAACTGCTTCCGCTCTTTTAAAATGAAAATAGTTGAAAATTATTAATTGAGCGATTTTCTACATTTTAAAAAAATGTATTGCTGTCTGAAGCATACGGGGAAGAAAAGTTTTGATTTTTCCATCTTGAAGCACTTAATGACTAAGTTTGAAATCTTGACCCACTCAGTGATAAATTAGCGATATTTGTTTTCTCATTTTAGCTTTGAGGCCTGTTGTTGAGTGGAAGTGAGTGGGCCTGTGAAGACCCGTTATAGCTTCGTCCCACTCTTTTTGCCAGATCTTTTGAATGTGCATATTTAGTAAATTCCTCAGGTAGGTCTTGGGAAAATGGCACATCAAAGGATTCTTCAGTTTGCTTTTATGCTACCTTCTTTGCAAGTACATCTATAGCGTCATAATCTGAGTTACCATTCTAGCCTTTTATCCACATGAGTGCAAGTTTTTGTATTTTGCGTATTTTTTTAGTATTGATTAATTTCGAACCTCGATTTAAGACTTGTTGACTGAGTTAGAAGTGATAATATTGCTGCCTGACTCTGTGATTTAATTCTGAGGTGGGAGATTCTCTGGTTATTTTCAGTTTTCACTGCTGCTTTTATGGCTGAAACTTCTGCCTGATGAAATCTGTTATTGGATTTTAGGTATCCCTATCATTTTGTACAATTATTGAAGTTCTTTCGCATGGGAAAGTACACTGCACTTCCAACTTGTCCATCTATTTTTGTGTCATCCGTGAATGCTGTGGTTTTGTTGTTGATGGACTGTGCTGTTTCTCGTTGAAGTTTTATCTTTATATACGGTACAGCAAGATCTCTGTTGTAGGTACGGAGACGGCATTTATATTCTATAATTTTATTAAGATGGCCATTAAAGGAAATGTTCTATTTTAACTGCATGATTGTTGTAAGCTTTATATTTTGTTTGTAGATGTAAAGGGTTTGTTCCAGCAAAGATGCTGAGTGCAGCACTTGAAGTTGTACGAAATTCGCGAGTTACGCATAAAGTAAGCTGCCTTTGAGTTGAGGATAAAATTTTGCTTTTGCTTTCAGCCGCAGGTATTTTCAAATGGCGGAGCCATAAGTAACTATTTTGGTTATTACGGTATGATATAAAATTTTCGTAATATAGGGGTTTAGTCCCAGTGTTTATCCAAGCATTTGCCTTAAATTGTGTGCTAGTTCGTGAGTGCGGTCTTGGATCTCCTTGAGATAATGGATAAAATTTTGCTTTGGTCAATATGGACTCTTAGGTAACGTTTTTAATTCTTCCTTTGTCGATTTTCAGAGAGAGAGGTTTGGCAAAAGCCTGGCCTGCTTTGCGTATTACAATGGCTTGTGACTAGGGTACCGAAACTTTCAGTTTGTGCTTTTTACATATTTTTCTGAATATTTCATTTGTGGTTCTGCAGTTTTCAGAGTATCGCTTGCGAGCGGCCGTTCACAACAAATGCATCCAACTTACAAATCACTACAAATTCATACAGCTTAGATAAATTTATCATACGAACTTGAAAGCTAGTGCTAAATTCTTATCGTTCAAAAAATGGAGAATAAAGCATGATAGAATAAGAAGGGTGCTTTTATATACAAATGTTTCTTTTTTCAGTTCTCCCAGATTTCGCACATGCACATCTTTACAGCTTTCATAATTGACAAATTTCACTTTTTTTCAGTTATGGTAATCATTCTATGCAATCATGAAACAATTTTCATGCTTACGTATCATCCCGTCTACTGTCAAACAGTCTCCAAGTAATGCGATTTAGCTACAGTTATGGCAAGTGTGACGTAACTTCGGAAATTACCTGCACTTCCGCCTCATGTAACCCCGACTCATTATTTTATTTTTATAAATAAGAATATAAACTACTTGTTATTGCTGTAGTTTTTCCTTGCATTTTGAAAGAAAAGTTAAAATATGTAATCTATCTTCTACAAAACAGTAAGCAGTGGACTATTTTTAAAGTAATGGGTTCCTGCCATCAAAAAGAAGTGTGTATTAGTGGCAACCATATCGCCAACTGAAATTGGCCTACAAAACAGTACTAGATAAGAATTATCTGCCAGAAATTTACGCTTGTTATGCTCTAAGTAGTAGTGGCATAACTAAAAAATGAAGAGGCGGTCCACACTGGGGCTACATTTTTAGGACGGCATATTTCGAGAGAAATATTATTTTATAGGAGTTAATCAGACTTAGTGGAAGCAGGTGAAGAATAATTTATATTCTAAATTGCCACACGGAATTAAATTGAGAAGTATAAGTTTATTTTCCAATGAACTTCATTATTTAAAATCATTTGCCATTGGAAGAGAATTTTCTCCCATCATTATTGGTAAAGTCTTTAAGCATTTTTTATCTTACCATCAAAGAAGGCATTCCGCTGTTATTAGCAATAACATTAAGAGCTTGGTCGTGCTTACGCTTTCTCCATTTGTCAGTTACAAAATTGTACGGTTTCTCCATTAGTTCAATTTTCAAATCAATTTCTCGCCTATCAATAAAATCCATTGTTCAATTTATAAATATTCCATGTCTGAGTTTAATTCTTGGGAAATTTATAGCATATCTTGTTAACGTGATGTGAGATATATCGCGGCTAAATTAAAACAGATTTAAATTTTTGCATCAAGGAGCAAGAATCTTATGTCTGGAGAGAAGAAATAAACAAATCTTCGATACCTAATCACAGTTATAAATTTAATCACAGTTTTGACTTTGAATCTGTAAAAATAATCCTGAAAACTTCTTCAATTTGTGATTGCATTTGAGGCTTTGCACACTCACAGAGTTTTATGTTACTTAGTTAGTGACTTAAGTTCCAGCCCACTTCTTCCCGATGACGAGGGACCTCCACCTGTGCGTCATCGAAATCGATGCAGTCTTGGATAAAATATACTTCGAACAGAAGGTTATTATTTGCTTAATTTTATATTTTAATGTCTGCTTTTCGTTTTCCCGACCAATGAAAACCAAATCTAAAAATGGAAACGATTGTCCAATCGTTCAAAAAATTTCATCTGCAGCGGTATTTACGGAATCACCTACGGGCAAACGACAATTATGAAATGAGCAAGGATGACATTCAAGTGGTCTTGTCTATAGCATGGAGACTCATCAGAGAATTTCTAGAAAATTCCGAAATGGATATCACTTTTTAGAGATTGACTAATGTATATAAGAATCAATAAAGTAAAAATGACTTTTTTTTCAATTATTTAGTGTATAACGCCATGGTTGTGATCGAATAATTTGTAAATCCCTTTGAATTAGTATAACTCAGTATAATAACAAATATATAATTAGTATAACTCAGTTTAATAAATCTGTTTTATAATCTGTGAAAAATTGAAAACCTTTTATCCGATATATTTTTTTATGTTAACTTTTTCGAATTATAAATGTCAAATAATATAAAAACCGAGAGATTTTCAAAAAATCAGATATTTAGTTAAAATTTACATAAAACTTTGATGAAAAGACTTTTTTTCTATATTCTGTGATATGTAAACAGTAAAATTCTGATATGTTTAGTTTGCTTTCTAAATAAAGATATGTGCGGAAAATTGTTTAAACGTTAAATGAAAAAAAATCTAAATCGAATTTTGAAAAAGTGCTTCACCACATTGCTGTTTCATCTACAAACAGTGCGTGTACAAAATTTGAACTCGATAGCTTATCAGAAAATAGGCTAAAATCAATGACAACAGTTCCATTAATAAAACACCCCGATTTGAAATAAATAAAAGCTTATATAAAAAATGAGATCTCTCTGTATACAAAATACTTTTTTCGCCAACAATACACTAGTACTTCAAAGCCCGTTCCAAGTAATAGTAGATTTTCCTTAGTTTGGAGAGGTTGAGCTTTAAACAGTGCACCTTAGTAAAAGAATTCAGCAAACG